AACGCCCGGCTAGTTTAGGATCAGTTCGGAGGGAGGGTAAATGCTAGTCATTATCACTCAACTCCGGGGATTCCAAGTTACAGAGAATGAGTATTGATGCCCCATTAAAGATCTAGTTCCAAGGGCTTGTCAATCATGCCACTCTATCGTCAATTTTTTAGTGGTTCATTGTAATGCCAGTATGCTATTCAATAAAGCGGAGAGGTTTCGAGTCTGCATAAGAAATTATTTCACGCTATGTAAATGAACTTGTGTCGAATAAATTGTCATTTTTTGTGTGATGCTTCCATTTTTTGTTGCAACGAGAGCCTCTAATAAATAACGACTTACTGGAGCTTATCACTATTAAAAACAATAGAAGTATCCAAAACAAAAACGAGAATGATCAATAAACAGGCACCTAAACGTATGATTTTCCCATTGCTAGTGCTTATCCAGGTTTTGGGGTCCCAGACTTTAAACTGTTTGTTTAAAGTCGAACTGATATGAGCTGAACCTTCAAAAGTGGAGAGAAAAAAATGTGTCCAGATGTATATAGACCATGTGCCCCGTGACGTCATGCCAACAGGCAACCGCCGGGCAACCCTAACATTTAAGCATCTTTTGCACGGTTATTCACCCACATTCAACAGGATTTGCCAACACCTTTTTAACATTCACATTTCAAGAGATATACATCAGGGGACCACAACATCCAATTGGTAAACAAAATGTCACATCGTCTATAATTTGAATAGCTTGGTTTGGCGATCTTGCGTCGTGGTGGCGCTCTCGCTTTCCGTAGCAAGGCTACCCATAACTTCAAACACCGTGCATACAAAAACGCTGCACATCGCACATTGCGTGTATACATTCCTTGGTTTCATTGGTAGCTTTTCAGAGTGGGTTGCGCATGATGCAATGACGACCAAAATGTGATGATGATGATGTACGACAACGATATTTTGTTGAGGGCATGGTATTGTCGTTCCCGTTCTCGCCTGACGCAATAATTCAGAAAACAAATTGAGAATATCAATAATAATGCAAACAGTGTGCGTACCATCGCTTTTGTTCCACGCAGATATGTACGAGAGTATGATAAATGGCAGATCCGGGTCCTGGATGATTCTCATGGTTTCTGCTGGTACCAATTGCAAAAGTTGACATTTAATAAAATTGTCATCTATGGGGGTTATATCCCTTGTTTTGCGTGGGCTTGACCAATTGGTACGCCCCGCTAAATTGGCAATTACAATTCCTCGATTGGGTTTAATGTGTTATTTGATTATTTGTGTAAATATATTACCTGATTATTTGTGTAAATATATCAAAATATATGCTGCAAATGCCTTGATTTTAAACAGTTTTATCTCTAGAATAACAATAACTGTAAAAAAAAAAAAAAAAAAAAAAACACACACACTTTTTTTAGTTTACTAATTTTTAAACGGGTTTAATTTCTTTAAAAAAATTCTACTGATTTATCCCTATTTATTAATGTTCAAATTCGGAAGAAGATTGTTGCTCTTGAACCCGGAATACAGTGAATACACTTTTTAGCCAAATAGCTGAGACCAGACTAAGTCTTTATTACTGCTTCTTTTACCCTCGTCACTAATGAACTTCATTAAATGTCATTGACTGTTTATATTCTATTTTAATCTTTATTTAATTTTTATTTTAACTGGGTAGCCGATTCGGTGGCATCCACTGGTCTCCCATTGGAACCAGTGTTAAGAGAGGACAATGTGAAGAGATTACAGTTTTAGATGTGGGGGAAAACCCAAGAAGAATATTCTGAGGAAAACCCACGGAACCAGACAGGGACTACAAACTCAATCCACATATTGGCCCACTGCTCGTCCCCGTGGTTTAGGATAAATATAAAAACTGAAAAATTCTGGTACATGTAATTTTCCGCGTCTTTCTTCTGCATTTTGCTAGTACAGCGAAGTGGCACTTGCCGGCATATACGAGCTGTCTGCGCTATTCGCCTGTCATGTCAGACACGGATAATTGAGTGTATAGAGGCCAGGCGAAACTGTGCATGGTCAGTGCCGAAAAAGAAACTAAAATCTGCTATACAGGAAAATACACTGCAACCGTTATTTATCATTTTGCCCTCAGAAATTGTAGATGGTTTCGATGGTTTATTGCTAAAAAATCGTATGGCAACCAGAAGCTGAATTACATGAAATTTACAATGACATTTAGTAATCAATACCGAGTAACCAATAAAAACCATGTACATTTTTTTACAATCAGATCGTGTAAAAGTTTTAAAAGAAAAAAAATATTATACTTGTACACAAATTACCCAAACAAATTGCACTATTACTATTCAAACAAAGCAGTCATGATTTATGTGACTGTTTTGGGTTGGATGACTTAAACAGTGATTCGAAAAATTGAAAAACAAAATGGTACATTTCAATTTATTGGTTATAAGTTAGCTCCAATTTGGAGATGATTGGACCAAAAACAATGAATGGGAGAGCATGTGCAGGTGGCTGGCGAATGTGAACTCGCCACTAGTGACGTGAAACCGAATTTTGTTTTGAGACCGCAGACCATTCTTTGTTTGCAATGGTTGAGCGCCATTTTGCGTTGACAAAGTGCGGCAACCAGTTTTTGCCCCTAAACTGCACATTTCGCACCAATATGAGTTTTTGGACGTGTCTATTAGTTATTCAGTTATTTAAATTATTTTTATTAAACGTGTGTGGGATAGTCTTTAGTTTCGCAATGAAATCCGCCAACAGTTTGTCCGGTTTGCAAAGGCTGAAAATGTGACACAAGAAAAAAGTGAAACATCTATGTAGTCAATGTTGCTGCCATTGGATAAAACAACCAAACTGACTAAACTGCAAGTGCAACTCTTTCTTTATTATGAAATGTGGTTGTGGGTGGGAAAAAATAACCTGCCGGAAAACTGACTTACACACGCGCGACCCGTTTAAAACCTTTGGGGCGTGCCAATGCATAACTTATTCAAATCAGGGGCGTCACGATTTGTGGGAGGGGCTTCGGCTCGTTTAACATTGCTGCTGAGCTGCACTTGCCGATCTAACCGACAGTTCTTTTCTGGAAAAACACTTTAACACGGATATCCTAATTAGAAAAGTCAGTTTGGTTAGTATTTGATGACAGAGGATCGTCATTTTGCTGACGAAATACAAAGAAATATCAGCAGTTAGCTACCGGTATGTCATTTGCATTAAGGAGGAACGCAAACTATATACCTTCACGTTAAGGGAGACGTTTTCCTGCTTCTGGTCTACCCTGCACTACAATTTAATCAATTTACCCTGTCTGTGTTAAAAGTACAGCCCCAAAAAGGACAATCAACCATACAGAGCGTATTTCGAGTGGATATCGATACTCTGTGAATGGCTACCGGTAAATTTGGGAGGAAAAGAGCGCGCCAGGAGAATTGGTGTGTGGGGTTGGACTGAGTTGACACAGGCGGTTGGCCAGTCTTTCTCGCCGCGAAAACGATCCGTAGTGTTGGTAGCGGGTTTGTGTACCAAGCAGCTATCCGTTCGCCTCCGATAGTGCACATTTTACACTCCCCTGAGCCCTGCCAAGTTTCCCTAAGACTATGCCTTTTCTTTCGTTTGGGCCGGGCCCTCTCTAATATCTGAATATAATGCTTTACCCATTCGCCATTTTTTCGCTCTTTTCTCTTGTGGATTTTTTTCTTCATGGCGCTAGGAAACTCGATCCACACTTTGGCGGTCTTGCCAAACAACGCGTCAACAATTGCATTCCGAAGATTACGATTTGCAGTGAGGGCAGGGCTATGGGCTTTAGATGGACAGAGAGAGGGGTGAAATGAGAAATGGGTTTAGATCGAAAAGGCGGGAAAAATCGGTGTTTATTCTCGCTGGTCGTTGGACAGGTGATCACCGGAAAAGGTCGACAATAGGCTAACATGACGGCAAAGGGCTGCAGGCCGGGGTAAACCTGCGGTAATTACAGTGTTGGCTGGTGGGCTTAGGGGCCTGAGCTTACGGCAGGAATTGGGGGTGCTTATTGGTATCAACTTCGCGAATTGGAGAGCGTCTCTCCTTCAACAACATGTTGTTTATTGTCATTTCCGTTATCCGGGGTAAAAAAGCGATGAAAATAAACTAACATTACAAAGTTAAGGGAGCGATAAACATGTGTCCTCTTAAACTAACAGAAGTGGGTGCATCTCAGAGATGGAATACTTTGTGCAAATTCACATCGATTGATTCTCCGATGTTATATTTCACGTTCTGTTTTGGGGATGTTTCATTAAGTTAAAGAGCTTTATTATAAAGACAGAACGTGTAATACTGCATTATGATTGTGTATGATATGCATGAACATGTGCATGCACTGGCACAAATATGACCGAGTCTTTTCGAATCACTTACGCCTAGATGAGCATGGAAAGACGGCCAACCTATTATGTCAAATATGATCGCTTGCCATGATTGCCGAAAAAAAGTGGCCCACCAATCGCTCGCGACAATATTTCAGCATCATTCCCGTTTGCGTTTCATTTCCCAGACCGCGAGGCGCGGACGGTGTATGCATGCACAGAGCCCGCCGGCCATGATTGTGTACCCTGGGCTCTTCGTATGATTACACGCTGATTATACCATGGTTAGCAGCCACGCCATCGCCTTCAATCTATCGCATCTAGCCAGCAAAAACTTCATCCCGATGCTCCAAGCCAAATTCTAGGTGTATATACAATGTGAGAAAATATGAAGAAGAAAAAATCTAAAGCCCGTGTTGTATTCCTTGCGCCGGAAGCCAGTGCTGCGCATTGACCCCTGCTATTGAATAGTCAGCTATGCCCGGCGAAACGGTTAGAATAACAATGAGGATAATTAGTGCCAATTAACATGCGTATCGGGCGCCATGCACCCCGACTACAACAAGCCAGCCGGTAGGACAAGCACGAGAGAGTTTTGTTATTCTAAGAATTACCTGAAGTGCCTGACAAGAGGGAAAATGAGCTTAGGTAGAAAATGAACAACTCACGGGTGCCTGTGAGTGATTTCCTGTTGAGGCAAACTCCACGATCCGCATTGGGGTATATTTTAGGGCCTCGTTGCTCAGAAATCATACGCTCAGGTATATCAGTGTGGAACCCAGAACTAGGCAATAACAAACCCCTAGCTTGATCGGTTTGTTATGCGAACAGGGGGAGGCTTTTGTGTAGAGTCGTAACGGTGGAGCTGATTTGGCCCCGCTCCCTTGAACTACAGTGATTTCAACCGTGCGCAAGCAGAATTGACTCAGTTGAGCGTAAAGATATTTCATCTATTCTTCCCCGCATCGGGTTGATTCTAGCCGCACCAATCTTTCCCCTTTCGTGTGTAATTGGACCTGCTATTCAACCGGCCCATGTGGTCAACCCTTTGTTTCTTTAATAACATGAGTGACAGCTCTGACATTGATTGACACAGTCGCCTTGGCGACCGGCCAACAAATTGCCTCTAAGCCAATCGAAAACCATTTATCCAACAAATGCTGCCCATGATAGTGGTGATAATATGGGCAGTGTCACAAACCGGGCTGATAAAAACTGACACATATCGCCGCGCTCAGCCCCACCCCGGTGTTTAACGCTAATGGTGTTGTTGGGTGGTGTGTGCGTGTGTGAGTCGTGGATGGTTGTACACGCGTAAGTAGTACTGGAGGCGCTAAGCAGCGAGTGTCACTGTGTCTCTCGACTGCGCTGTGAGACGGGTCCAGATGCTCGGCTCAATGTTTCCCCTACCGACCCTACCGACGCTGAGCTTCACCCCGGCTCAGATCGCCAGCGTCTGTGAGACGTTGGAGGAGAGCGGGGATGTGGATCGCCTGGCTCGGTTTCTCTGGTCTCTTCCCGTGGCACCAGGGACATGTGAAGCCCTCAACAAAAATGAGAGCGTGTTGCGAGCTAGGTCTGTGGTGTCCTTCCACCAGGGCAACTTCAGAGAACTATATCACATCCTGGAAAACCACAGATTCACTAAGGAATCGCACGCCAAACTACAGGCCATGTGGTTGGAGGCACACTACCAGGAAGCCGAGAAACTCCGGGGCAGACCGCTCGGACCGGTGGACAAGTACCGGGTGCGCAAGAAGTTCCCCCTGCCGAGAACGATATGGGACGGTGAGCAAAAAACACACTGCTTCAAAGAGAGGACGAGGAGTCTCCTACGGGAGTGGTATCTTCAAGACCCCTACCCTAACCCAACTAAGAAAAGAGAACTGGCCCATGCCACTGGACTCACACCAACACAAGTTGGGAATTGGTTCAAGAACCGACGGCAGAGGGACCGAGCAGCAGCGGCTAAAAACAGGCAAGTATTCCGCCTTAGCTTTTCTGTTAACATCCAACGTCAAAAACCTAAATAACTCGAATTGTTGACTCGTATTGTTTAGATTCCATAGCAAAACAAAGTGGAATAAATACGTGATTATCATTTGGTCGATTGATCCTGAGGTCCATCCACGGGATTTCTTGTTAAAACGATCGCCCGAAGAGGGGGGATTTCTAAAGGCGCTGCTTAATATAATGAAGCGATACCCTCCTTCTTTAGGCTTAGAAAACAAGTGGGATAGTTAGTGCTTTTGAAATGGTTTCCCGTGTGTACTCTTTTGCAGGGAAGAATTAGACTTGGTGTTAAGTGCGCTATTTGCAACAAAACCACTCGACCCACCTGATCAATTGGGGGACCCAAGAAGCCGGTTTAGATGCATTGAACCCTCAACAAAGACCTTCTTGTGGGAAGATTTCGTTGAAATTCGCTATTGTCTTGTTTCCCGACCACACTGGCCATTCTGGTTTCGTAATATACCACCAAGAACTTACTGTTTATTCTTTTTTCCGGGATTGGTTTACCAAGTTATTTGACCCGACAGGCTTAATTCGCCGCCACTTGTTTTGTGCACTTGAAAGTTGGATGTTTAACAAATAATCGTTGCTTTATACCGGTTCTTTACAACAACTAAAATGCTTCGAAAACTTAATGTGTTAGATATGAATACCGCTTCGTAAAAAAAAATGTCATATTCAGCTGCTTTCATCTTTTAACCCTTCCTTACAATGAAATTGATTTTAATTTTTATATAATGAATGGGCCAAATTTTATGTTCCAGGATTTTGTCAATTTCAAAACAAACGTGTCATGGCCCTATTTATTATAATTCCCGAGTCTAGTCGGTTACGCCATGCGCACGGAGCAGCGAAGTTTACGTGGTTAGTTACACATTCTATTGCGGGAATCAGTGTGGAGTGTGCTTCAGCGGAGTCTCTGCCGGGCCAAGCGACGAATTGCCCCGGGCGTTACACACCGCCTGTGCACGCTGCTCGCATCTCACGCTTGTTAAAAAAAAATGGCCGATGACCGTGCACGAAAACGTCTCTCTCGATGCTCGCCAGAGCCTTTCTTGCCAACACGCGCAAACGTGCCGTGATAGCCTTGTGGTCGGCTGGTTTTTGTACGCTAATGAAACCAGTCGAGGGGGCTCTCCTTTCTGAACAAATATTAACCTTTCCCGTGTCAGACAGCTATCCCGATTCGAGGTGGGAAAAATCAGGACTATTAGATTGATTTCTTGAAAAGGCCTGGTGCCATCAAAACATGTTGTGAAATAACTTTTTGCCTTGTCATGATTTGCCGTTGAAGAAACTTGAGCCATCAAATCAATGTAAAAATGCGTGTAAATTGATCCCCCAAAAAAACACAACATATGAAAGATGATTCGACCCCTAGTACTCAGTGCAGAGTTTAAATTGGGAGTATAGTAAAGAGTAGAGATAATACAAAAATAACGAATCTGCAGAATGCAGAAAAGACTATATACAGACAATGTACAATAGGAAATTTTAAAAAATACCTGAATTGAAATGTTTAAGATACCTTAATTTGCCACAGTTTGAGTTACCTTTCTTTTCCTTTTGAGTCCTAAAATACACATCAAACACTGATCCAAACGCAGCTATTTTTATAGGCGAGTTTCTGATTACATAAATTGCTATAGTTAGCATACTTTTTGATGTTAAAAAAAATAATAATAAACTTGTAATACGGGCCGTTAAGTGTTTTAAAAACTTCATTAGCTTTAACTTTATATACCATTTTTGGTCGAGGATATAAAAAAATTGTGAATTTCATTGACAAAAAATGTCATGACCAATACAAGGCACATAGAGCCTTAGAGGATTTAATTTGTGAATATAACACTCCGTTGAAGTGATGCACCGAGTTGAAGAACAGGCAACTGTATTTGCTCGGTATAGGTTTGCATGTTCGCCATTGAAATATAACATAGAAGGGCCACGTGTGCTGCTGGCATGAGATTGGCTTTCTGCCGTGCCAACGTTAACGAATTCATCAGCGCAGACAAAATTCGACACCTCGGAATAAAGGGGGGAAATGGCCACACGACAGCACACGGTCTGTGGTGGGATTTACCACTTCTCAGTCAAGTTCACGCTTGGTAGGTCCCCCGATTTTTTTAGGGGGCAGGGCGATTGTCTTGGAACGGATAAAGTCCGCAGCTGCATGCACCATGATACCCGTTGTTCCCCTTGGTCCGGCGGTGTTAAACGCCAAACACACGGCGTGGCACCCCGGCGCTGCCCCCGCTGAATGAAGTGCAGCGCCCGCCTTGTCAATCGTAACACCTTCCGTGTATGCGGCCGACGTCGCGCGCCAAATGAGGCATAGCACACTGACTCTATATCAATTTACTGCACAGGATTATTTACATACTTCCTGCCTTTAAAAACTGGCATACTTTGTCCCCCTGCATTGGCCGTCAAAGAAAACAAAACAAATCGGCGACAAAAAAACTAATTTTGTCATTCCTCAATCTATAAAGTGCACAGTGCATATAACCATCGCTTAGAACTACAATCTTAGGATGAAAATGCATGTGAAATTATTAAATTCGTTGGCAATTTCTCAGGTACATTCATGTATCATTGTGAGCAAGTGAACAATTGTGGTGGAAAACATGGTTAAGAGACCACTCCTGGAACCAACTTGTTCGTGTTTTGCTTCAAACACTTGTAAATTTCTTCCTTTCAGATCAGGTAGACTTTTGTGGTTGAGTTGGCTAAGGCGTTTTGCTGTCTTCCCCAAAAAAATCAGCTCTATGCAGAACTGCAAGATTTGTATCTCCCGAGAGTTTGACCAAAATCTACCAAAATTTGGAGGGTTAGGTCAATGTGAGTTCGCCTCTCACGCTTTTGAGTCATATTGTTATTACTGCAGAGTCTGTACAGAAAGTGCAGGCATATCCTATTTTCATTTCCCAACAAGGAACGAACTCGTTTTTGGCCAGCAGATTAATTCTCTGCATTTGTTTATTCAGTAAATAAGTAGCGCAGGTTTTTTTGCAGGCCCAGCGAGTGCTAATGAACGTCGCTCATGTGTGTAACTCCATTGTTGGCCAATGTCCGGTGTACGTGTTCCTACATCAGCGCTTTCTATAGCTGCAAATATATGTGCTGTAGACACAATCCCATCAAATATTCGAAGTATAAGCCCAATATGATTATTATTATTATTTTTTTTTAAGTTTTACACACTTTTTATTCAATCTGCTAGTGCGAATTGAATCAATGATTAAGTATAACTCTTTCTTTAAAAAGAAAGACAGAGAAAAAAGACCTCTTTTCATCACGAGGAAGGCTCCGCAAGTTTAATTTCTAAAGCAAGAATTTTGATCAAAATTGTGTTTTATAACATCTCTCTTTACAACAATACTTAGCTTTTATCGCCTTCTTACGTTTCACTTCCCAATTTTGTGTATGTCCAGTTAGTAGTTGCAAACAAGACTCAAACTTGTTTTATTTTATCCAGGTGTAATTTTCAAATAAAAAAATCCCGGACGTCGTATATATGTTTGACATAAATATCTAGTCGTGCCATCCAGAATTAGGAAATAAAAATTGGTTGTTATTTGTTCGCAAGTAAATATGTTTTTACAAATCTTATATCATCAGATAGGGATTCCACAGTGTGGTTATAATTCGTTCATTCGTGGTTATCATCCATTACATGAAATCTAACTCAACAAAATGCGTCCACAGAGGAGAGTTTGCCCAAATTTGAAAGTCACTCAGTCTGTCATTATATAGCCAGCACAATTTCTTTCTTGTCCTGAGTCGTGGTATACCTCTGTTCTCAAAATACTTTTTTTACATGACAGAGAGCACAGGACCCGCCGCTTGTGCCGCTGTAGTGGGACTCTTGGATTTCACGTTTTTTTTTCACGTGCATTTTCGCTGCCCCTATATTTGATTGGTAATCAAATATATCAAAATTTCCTGATTCGTTCTTTGCATCATGATATTCCTCAAAAGACATTAATCAATCGCATAAAGTCCTTGATCCAGCCATGATCCAGCAGACATCTTCCTTTTTTTTGCTGGAGTCGGAAGACGTCAAGTCATCTAGAGTTGAGTAAAAGATGAGTCAACTCAAATTAAGAAAAAAGAAATGACTTTCAAGGACTCCGTGTTTACGCGTTGCAATGTTGCATGAGTTACTTCCAGCCAATTAATCCATATCTGTCACTCACATGTTCAACACTGGGCAGTTTTCCACAGAGGGTTGGAAACCATTGTACGACATCCTTAAGTAAGATGGCTCCCATTCTGATGCCAAATGCAATCAAACAGGATTATTACTTCAGTGGTAATTTGGGTATTTCGCTGATAATATCATTCGAAGCGTATAAGATTCCACCTTTTGGGAAGAGATATTGGATAATGTACTTTTGTCTTGGGGTGCAGGTAAAAAATAGCATTAATTAATTTCCGGCATTCTACAACGAATTGCGGTTGTAGTTGACAACTTTTTTTTATTTAGTTTACTGTGTATACTTTGTAACGTTTTGAAGTTCTTTAATCAATGAATGAAGAAGTTTTCTCAAGATTTTCATTTGTTGTTAATTGTGTTATTGTGTACAGATTGCAGCAGCAGCAACAACAGCAACACCAGGCCCTCCAGAACTCCAGTGCCAATGCCAACGGTGGTCCACCGATCCATCGGCTGTCCATGACGGAAGGAACCACTACTCTACCCGGGGAGGAATCACCAGACAGCGGGTCGCCCAGTGTTAGTCCGATCGGTTCGCCCTTACTACCGCGGAGTGTCAGCCCGCGACCGCCTCACTGACGAACTGCTCACCGGACGCTGGCCCGCTCTCCCATGAGTGCCCAACCGTCCCATCACGCTCGGCGCACCGGACTCGGACTGGGACAGACGTGGAGTGGATGGGTGAACTCAAGGCGCGCCAGTGAGTGCAAAACTCGGTATTTACCATGTACGAGCATCGATCGATAAAGAGGGTTCGGCGTGAAAAGCTCCATGTCTTCTACCTAAAAAAAAGCAAAGTTGTAGAAAACTCAAAAGACCGCGAGATTGCCAACATCGGTGTTAGAGTTTACGCCATCGGGTATGTCAAGCATATCTTTTAGTAATCATGGCCACTCTACTCACATGATGAAACCCCTGAACAACTCTGCTTACGTCACTGATGCCGTCACTGCATGCGGACTTTTTTACCGTTGATATTCAATATCACTCGCATATTTGTGAATATGAATTTATCAGAATTTACTTGTTCTTTTTTTGTTCTCGTCTAATGCAGCATTAAAATGTATAAATGATATACGTGTACTAGAAGTAAACTGCCATACAATTTTTCATAAGTCGTGCAGACAACTTTTACATACAAGATATTATCCAAGCCTAAACACACCTTTGACAGCTTATCAGAAAGATCTGTTTCTCCATTTCACCTAAAACCTCAACTGGCTAAACAGTCTTAAATTGGTTACGAAGTACTATACTATTGTGTTTTTACTGTAATTAGAGATTAAACAAAAGTGGGTCTCTCTATTTTCTCTCGAAAAAAAATATACGAAAACAAAACATTATTGGGTGCACCATAACTAATTCAGTCTTCATTCCGTATAACCTAAGTATCCTATATGCACGTTTCTACAATTGATAAAACGTCGATATTATACAGAAGGTATTCTTTACTCACAACAAAACTCAGTACGTTTTTGAAGGTCCCTTATTTCTTTATCACCAAGTGCTTCACATTACTTTTTTTCACAGTTTCGTAAGAAAAATTAGAACATGGACTTTAGTGTGTAAAAGAAGGTACTGAAGATCATTCAGTGGGCCTACGACGTTTAATTAAGAGTCAATGCAATCTAGAAAGCATTTTAGATGAACAATTCAGTGGTTAAACATTACTCTGAAATTTGGTGTCAACTTCGGTCAAAGTTTCCCACTCAAGCAACGTCTATCAACTTTCAGGCTCAAATTCTCAAATAAGAAGTTGTGGGTTGTAATTGTAGAAAACTTACAAAAACAGTCAAACTGTTTGTTTTTATTTTTGATTATTGGACAAATGGTTCCAAAATATATGTACCTTTCACCTATCATTTATATGATTTGTTGTTGTTCATATATAGTACTATTTACGAATAAGGGCTTCATTTTCAGTAATGATAAAAGAGAATATCAAAACTTCTTGTGGAACATCTATTTGGTGGTGAACTCGGACCATATCACTATTCTTCCAGAAATTCCAACCTTCCTACGCATCATCTGAGTTTTTTCTGTAGAATACGGTTGAATAATGGTCATAAGAAAGTATCCAAATAATTACATGTACGCAAAAGACATCGTAAGATTTGAAACTTAAAGAGATTTTTATTCGGCTTTTTATTCTCCCCATTTTGTTCCGATTACAACACTCTGACGAACAAAGTACATTGTACCTGTTTTTATCCTTATACATTTGTTTCATGTACTAAATGCAGCATGACCTCTGAACAGCACGATTATCCTGCCATTAACCTTATAATTTACCGACTTCATATTCCAGTCTCAATGGAGTTTCTTTTGAAATATAATCTCAAAGAAAACAAAAAGATTAAGGAATTCAGCTTTTTGCCCGGAAATCTGGAGATTGTTTTCAAAATAATACATCTTCTCGCTGTATTCATTGAGTTCAAGAGAGTAATGCCATTGAACTCTACAAGCATTCATTTCGTCTTGCATGCTAATTGTTAGAAATGGACAAAAATGAGTGCCCAATTATACTCGGGGGAGATTATCCTTTAAAATCGTATTACAAGTTGGTCCCATGTGACTTGTCTCCCACTTTATTGGAAAAGAAAGACATTTAACTTGTCCCAACTAAACAATATAATTTATTTACAAATTGAATTCAGGCCTGTTTTTTTTCGATGCCAACTCTGGAATACATTTTAGTAGGCGTTTTAGGACACAGACAGCACTCACATGGAAATTCTGAGCATAAATTGACAAATATTGCAAAATTGAAACTAGTCATCGTATTTATGTCAACTTGGCCGACACGGAGTGATCCACGTGGCAAGAGATTCATGTGGACCTACAATGTAATTCAATTTTGAGGGGAAATATTTCAATGTACTATACGTGCGTACGGGGAATATAGTAGGTTTCCTTTCCTCTCACAAAGGTTGCAGTTTCACCTATAGAATTTTTCTCTTGTTTCGATCAATCAAATATTTCTTGTGCCACAACCTTTATTTTTTTGTCTCACCCCGCAGACTGTATAGATGTCGTTCCGCAAAGGAAGAGTCTCATGTATATACACAGAATTTGGTCGATTATACCTCGATAGGCCTATCTTGGGAATGAACCGGGCCGAGACATCGAACGATTACCCGAATGTTCTTTGTGTAACCAAATGTACATCTTAAACTTGCCGTTTCTCTGTACATGTAGTATTGTTACTCGCTGGCATTTCTGGCTGGATGCCACTGAGCACATTCATGTTACAAAATGTTTTATAATAAATCATACTTTGAAAGAGTAAAAGCTTTGGTTTTGCGCAGGATATGTTATTGGTATATTGGCCTATATATGTGCAGGCCGGGAAGTTTAAACCTATTGAGCACGATTCAGTGACTGTGTTTTGAATCTGAGAAATGACTATTTACATGTTTCCGTGAAGCACGTTTGAAAAAAATTGCCGATATTTACTGTTTTTTGAAAAACAATTGTCGGAGGTATCCCGCCTCTGCACAGTACAACTCTACGGCAATACAAAAATACCTGTGAACAACTTAATACAATGTTTGTTTGAGGTTTGCGTTTCAAAAATTCGTTTTAATAACTTGATTACAAATTTCTAAAATCTAGCTACGAAATTTTGTTAGAGGAATATATACAGGGATAACAGGTGAATCCGTTTTTGGTCTTGGTTTAACATATAAGATGGAAAGTCATGATATATACCGGATTTGGTTTAATGAGAAATCTAAATGAAACATATTCCTTTCCTTTTTACCAGCTGGAATTATGATTGCAATATTCTAATAGGTAGGCGTGGATCATGTGGATGTATGCACATGTAGCTGTGACTTCTACTTGCCCTATTCATTTACAGCATGGTGATACTGGAACCAATGAGGCCCTCTCTGCATGGTGTATGTCATTTAACCTAAAACAAAAATTCTCCGTCCTCTAACCGCATGGCACTTGAAATTCATTATGTGAGCCACGTTAGAACTAAAAATGTTATTGACTGTATCTTAACAGAACCTCTTTTAATCAATTATAATAAGTAATGATTCATCTTCACCGACATTGAAAATTACACAATTAACACAATTTGTTGCTGGAATAAATAGGTGCCTTGCAGAAATCTTGGACTTTATAAGAAGGTGTTATCGATATTAGAAATATCATAAAAACAACATAATACCACACATACTTTGTATTTGTACAGAGAAAGCAGGCAAAATGTCTGTGGAGTTCTTAATGAACCAACTCAATACAGGGAGTCCAAAATCGCCAGAGCTATACTTTTTGCAAATCTTCCAATATTGAGATCAATATGCCTTTATCGAACATAATGTCCATGTTCATCATGATGCCAAACAGACAGATAATGTAACATTGAAGATCTGAGTGTGTTCCTTCTAATGTGTATGAAAAAAAAATAATAAGTGAATCAAACAAAATGTCCTGCAGACTTATCGTGTGTTAAATGGTCCATACGCTCGGCATGGCCAGAACAAGTTTGCGAATCACAAGGTCCATCAATGTTTTACTTTACTCTGGAAGTTTGGACAAACTTGAAAAGACGCAAGTACGTGAAGTGGCTAAGATTAGAAAATCTTCCTCCATGGTATATGGCAAGTATGTGTGATGCTCTACTATCAATGTATTCGCATGTAGCCTACATGTATACCAAGACGCCTTGAGGATTAGTAGTAGAAGGGAGTGTTCGCTAGATCGCCAGGGGGTTACTGACCGCCCCCCTACTCATCTCAGGCACAGCAGGTAATCGGCAGCCACAAGGTATCAACCCCAATCAACCTTGCAATGGGCAGAGCCGCCATGCAGCAACCCGCTGTGAGGCTTTACAAACCCCAGACATTCCTTGTCAGGGAAAAGACACCAAGCCAAGAATCTGACAATTTCGTCTCCTCCACCCCCGTAATGTATACGCACACAACATGACAGTAGGATTCCTATCAAATCATTCAAGCCGAGTTTTTTTTTTGTGTTCCGGCCCCTGGTTGGCTACCTTGCACCCATTCACACTAGACAAGAAAAAGATGAAGAAGGGGGAAAGGAAAGAAAGGAGGACTGGCTTGTGGTATAACGAGGCTGCCCAATTAGCGGCCAGGCCCAATCCGCTTCCGGATAGAAAGCCAGCCCACTATGCCCAGACCACAACAAAAGCGCGGAGATGACATTCCAGTATTCTCATTACCAGCGTCACGTCCCCCTCCCATTCAGCTCACTGTGCACACAACAAGAAACCGCTTCTCTGCTCGTTACAAACAACGGCTCCAGCCCTTACACGGCTACTTCTCCTAATTATCTTTATCCCCTCTACGTCTTATTGGAGTCATATCCGTCTTGTCCTCCTTGTTGATAAACCAACAAGCTCCTGGGTGGTAAGGGGGGACGTTATGAAACAAAGAAGGGTGACATGACACCAGGAGATGACATGATGCTGAGCTGGCAGGTAGGGATAGAAGTTTAACTCGGAGGGGGGCGGGGGTCATCATTTGTGATTCGTTCAATGTATATCATGCGGTTCAAAACTCGAGACACAATGATATCAATGTAAAGAAGCCCTCGTCCTTGCGTCAATTATATACATATCAATGTGTGGATAATTTCGCTTGTAGAGCCAAAAGCTGACGGATTGTTTCTTTGTGTTGCCTGGTCGATGAGGGAACGAGGCCAGGCCAATTATTGCAAGCAGTTCGGACTCTCGTTCCAAGTGTCACTTTCATTTTTCTTTAGTGTCATTTCAGAGACGGATCGGGTCGTCATTCTGAAGGCTCGTCAAGGGGGATCTGTCGAAGTTCGGCTGGCGGTTAAACAATGCCCAATTATTCCGCGCGCTTCCCCTCTTATTGTCCAGGCTGTCACTCAGCTTAAAGGGACACTATTATACGGCCTCTTCCTGCAGATTCAAAGAAAAAATACTGACTGGTCGACAAAAGACCACGAGGACCCTGGACAAAACGCTAAGGATTCCCTGCCCGACTAATTTGGCCTGCTCGGCACAGCCCCCTCCGTCGTTTCATAAAAGAGTAAATTTTAATTTGTCTGGCCTGCACGAGAGAGATTAGCTTCCAGACCTCTGTCATATACAACAGACTTCGAATAATCACACTGCATCTGAACAACGTAAATCCTCTTTTGGCATGGTTGTGGTTTATGTCAGAGAGTTCCTAAGCAAATAGCCGTGATATTAACTATTACCCATCAAATAAGGCGGAGACCTGCTGCACCCACAAAATGCCGACTCCATTTCACATTTTTACTCGCGTAAAGGTCCTACTCAGTTGTAAACAAAAATATATATAATACATAATACACGTGTATATAACTGATATTTAGCAATATTATAGGCCCTAACCGTTATTGAGCCAAATGTATACAAAGATAGGTGCAGACAATGCACACACAATTAATCTCAATCATATCTCAATCATTAAATTCAGGTTGCATAGGTTATAATATCTTTCTTGTATATAGTGAGTATTTATGTAGTTGAACAGAATATATAAATTCTCACTTCCGAAAAATGCCCATTGTTGACAGCTTCAATTCGCACTTGGCGAAGTGCAGCATCGTGCATACACGTCTATTATGGAGTGTGATGTGCCCTGCGTTCGACAAGGGACCGGGGATATGTTTATGTAATGAGGGTCGGGACAGACTGTGAAACTCCGCCCCAGCGATTACTGCCCAAAACACGTCGGTGTAGGCACGCCGCGTCGCACCGCGCACGGCACAGGAGCCTGATGAATGGGGAGGGACCGGGGACTTGACAGCTTGAATCAGACCGGGTCTTGATACCTGAAGGGACCCAAGACTGGCACTTCCTTCAGGGTTCTCTAAACACCCTGCCAGCAGCAGCGCTACCTCCGCGATGAAAAAGTCTTATTATTGATACTCACGGCTGGAATTTAATATAAAGCCCTTCTGTCTCTTTTTAACTCTCTTTCTCTCTCCAGTTTTCCCGAACCAATCCATCCCTGTCAGAATGGATGTCTTCTGTCAGCCCCCGCCCTGGTGAGATTAGACATATTTCCCATCAAATCAGGGAGATAATGGGGGCAAATCAATCAGATGAACGCAAGTCTAAGATGTATTTAGCTGCCAAGGATTCTTGAGGCATTTTGAAGTACAATGTAATATCATCTGAGTCCAGATTGGACAGATTTATGTACAAGGAGCAGTGATGTTTGACACGAGATGGTCTCACTTCTTGTTGCTATTTTAATGTATTAGTAAATGTATTAACTTGAAGTAATGCAATACATCACCAACTTGACCAGGCGCAAACTTTAACTCTGATGTCGGATTCGAGACACTTAAAATCTTGCCAACATTTGTGCCCAAAGCCACGTTCAAATCCCTTTTTCATAAAAGTGTGGAACAGTGGAAGGTATGAAAAATGATCCAGGACTTCATTTATTGCAGTCTGACTCGCCGAAGGAACAAACTCAAGTTTTGGGAGTACAATTTATATACTGCAATTGAATATCAACAAGGTGTCTTTTTCCTGTATGTGTTTATAATCCAATAAACTCATATTGTTTACTGTTAACAGAACAATTACGGTCCTAATCCACAATAATACTTCCTGTGGCGGTTTCAAGATTTAGATAAAAAAGAAGTCAGTACAACTCTTAATTAAACGATCCGTAACAGTCCATATACCGTCTCGCATCTATACACGCACCATCACTGCATTCTGAAAACAATCTCAAACACGACCCATGTATATCTCAGTGATGCCTATCTCAGCCGTGTTCATCATTTACAAGAGAGCAAATACTGTAACTGCATGCCCTGGCAGCTCTGTCCCCCACCTCTCCCCTTCCTGCCCCACAACCCTGCGATGCAACGACACAGCTAAGCTCCTCTAGCGTACTTGAGCCGTGTTTGTAATGGTGATTACGTGTTTTGTTCCCTGTTAATCGCCATCTTTTACCGGAGTCCACAAACATTGACTCCCCGTATTATGGGCGCTCGGACCCGGTCGGTGATGGTGGCTGCATGCACGCTGTGAGTGTGTGTCACCACGGAAGGTCGATAAGGCTGAAGCCTGGACTGCGCACTTGCCACGTTATCGAGCCAGTTGAGTGACAATTGTTGACCAAGTGATTTACAGACCAGTCGCGTGTGTGTTCAACACTATAGTCTCGTTATACTTCCCGTGTTACGTCATTAGTTTACACATTTTAATCGGTCTATAGCTGTCAAGATATCAATCATAATTCGTATAAGCACGACAGATTTGTTATCGCAACTGAAGTCTGAACCACGGTCATTTAACACC